TGTAATGAACATATTATAAGTGACCTTTCTGGAGATGCTGTTCTTTGTCATCAATTGAGTCATAAAGTAAACAGAGTTAATTTAATGTTTTGTTTAATGTGATCTTTGTTTGACTGAGGTCGCCCAGGAGGCAATCTGAGTCGTGAGTTTATAAGAGAAGCAGAAGTCTAAATAAGAAGGTACAGGCTCTTGGCTTTTAAAGTTTCTCTTTAGACCCTTTAGTTTCACGTTTGCAGGTGCTCCTTCCTGGCGCCGTGCTGTGTCAGATTCACAGAATATGTCAAATGATGAACTCGGGGTTATTGTATTGTGTGAGATATTGAAGACGTAAGTCAGACAGAACAAACAGCATCAAAGCAATTTATCAAAGCAATTTATCAAAGCAGAAATTCTTCTACTGCGTGAAACTGCATATGTCTATCACATAAATAACATATGTAATCTCAAGGTAAGATTTACAGGTGTGAGAAAATCCTTTGGAATCTGTTGGAATTACAAGAATTTCTGCTCCGATTGCTTGCTTAATGTGTTCTGAACTTCACATAAGTTAGCTCACTGACTTCTCACTTACTGAGCAGGTTGGACGTTGGTGAAAACGATGATTCACTTTCACAGAACCTTAGATAAAGCATTTTAGAAATGCAAACCAAAAAAGGCTACAAACGCATTTCTAGGTCTAAGTCTCATCAATCAATCAATCCATCCATTTTCTTCTGTTTATCCAGTTCAGGGTTCGGGTTGGAGCCGAGGCAAGAGGCAGAGTACAGCTTATTATCAATGAAGTGACATGTGTTAGGAAGAAGCATTAGACAAGTAAACTCCACACATAAAGGCACCACTCTGGGTTGTGGATTCAAGCCCACACTGAAAAATAGGGATTGGCCGTCTCTTGGATTTATGTAAGCATCTTGCGTGTATTTAACACAATTGCCTCATTCTTTAAAGTTAAGTGCAACTATATAGTGTTGAAATTACATGATATGCAGAGAGGGCAGATTAAATTGTTCATATCGTGTTCGAGTGAAGTGAGTCAATAGTATAGCAATGTTGAATCTCGCGACACCGTGCAGGATTTTAGTCTTGCACACGTTGGATCGTGGTTTGAGGAAGGCATCCATCTCAGTCAAGTCGAGCAGCTGCCTCTACTTTTTTGGGTATACCCAAAAAAGTAAATTGGGTGGTTGTTACATTAAAAAAGTCTACCTTGTAATTTGAACACAAAAATGTCACGTTTCTATCTTGAACGTAATTAAATCATGTAGGATCTGTATGAAATTCAACAACTTAATTTGTTCTTGTTGAGATGACATGATACAATCTAGTAAGAGTGGTTAGTTGCTGGACTCATTAAATTCACAAGATCACACGAGATTTCAAACTGCAGGAAAATCACTGGAGTTATAAGAGGCAGACAACTACACACACACCACATGTATGCTATTGCTATTTATTGTGGTTTAACCTGTCAAGGACAAAAATGTACAGAAAATTCTGCATCAAGCCTTGAAATCATAGCTTTTCTACTTTTGTTAAGCCTGTATTGGTGGCATGGTGGTTAGTGCTGTTGCCTCACAGCAAGAAGGCCCTGGGTTCAAATCCACAATCTGGCTAGTTTGCACTGGTTTCTCTCTGGGTATTCTGGCTTCCTATCATAGTTAAAAGTCATGCAGTTGTTAGAGTTGGGTTAATTTGTGATTCTGAATTATCTGTGAATGTGAGCGGTGTACCCTGCCTCTTACCCTATCACTTCTGGATTATGCCCCAGCCCCCCTGCAACCTGGATAAAGAGAGGAGGACGGTAGTCATTGTAGATCCATTCAATTCTTATGTTAACCAGACTCTAGACTTTGTTGAACATTATGTAATATGAAGACAACATGTAGTATTTAAGTGACCAAGTAGTATTGGGGTAAAAGTTATTGAATACTGTTGAAATAAAATTGCAAAGAATAAAAATATTCCAAGAGCTCACTTTACTTCATCTAAACATGTTTCAATCGTGTTTTATCAACACGAAATGCACAGGTTTATTGAATATGAATAAGTTGTGTTGATTTATCTCAGTTGTTTAAGTGTCTGCCAAAGCAAAACAGCTGTGTGCAACTAATGTCCACTACTGAATTAAGTAAATCCAACATGGCCTTTTTTTCAGTGCAGGATCTTCTTGCTATGAAACAAGAGTGCTAACCACAGCTCAACTGTGCACCATCATCAAATGTTTTTTAATGTTGTTTTTAATTACTAGTCTTTTTTTTAGCAACAGTAATCAAGATTGCTGACCTGCAATTAAAAACACTATCAACAGCAAAATCCACCATCCATCCCTCCATTGCCTGATGCTTGTCTGACCCCAAGGCAGCAGTCTAAGCAGAGATGTCCCTCTCCAGCTCCTCTGAAGGGAGACACAAGGGAGTTCTTAAAGTAGTTGAGAGATGTAATCTCTCCAGCGTGTCTTCGGTCTGTCCTCAAGGGCTGACATAGGCCCTATGGCTCCAGCCCTCGTAAATCTTAATTGGATGAGCATGGATGGCAAAGCTAAACATTTCAGAGAAAGTACAAACAACAGAATGAAAGGAATTTTTAAAATCCACTCTGAGTCCCAAACCACTAATAGTATAAGCTACACACCTCAAGAAGATGGTTTGGACAAAGCATTGTGGCATCCATTGCTTGAATTCCTTGACAAATTTCTTTATCCCAAAAAAATCCAAAATGCTCAAAGAGTCTGAGCAGCTCTTATTGAAACATACTCCTGCAAATGAGAGGGAAGCATCACAGACGTGATTCAGACTGACTGCTTTGGTTACTGCAGACACAACGTGCATTCCCATGATTCCTGAGCCCAGACACACAACACTCAGTTTAGGTTGGTGAACGGAGCTGTCACACTTTGTAACCAACGGGACAAATCAAGCCTGGAGCTGTAATAACAGCACAAAACGTTTCTGGTGAACATATTTAAAAACAGAAGATGAGAATAATGTGTCTGTCCAGCATGAAGGGAGACATCCACTATACTGTCCTTGAACCCCTCTAGATCCGCTAAGGCTGCTGTAGAGCATGTGGATGGATAGTAATCAGGGCTCCCGGGAGGAAGCAGTTTTGCTGGACAACAGAAATTACCCTTGCTTATGATTCTGATGGAAAGATTGTCAAAAATTTTTACTTTGGGTCAATGAGAAAACTTAATTATAACAGTGAACCAGTTTAACCAGTGCACAGGAAATTTTAGGATAAGAGTTCCAGTTTGCAGTGCTCATAATTGGAGCTCAGCCAGAAATGAAAGTGCAGATCTGGATGATAGGTGCAATGTAAACACAATAAAGATAACCATCCTCAGTATCAGCACATGGATCAGATAAGATGAATTGCTGCCAGACATCCGCAGCCAGTTTGCAATTTTTTAATAGAAATTGGGATACTCAATTTACATTATGGGTCACTTGGAAACGTCACTAACAACAGAAATAAAAACACCAGTAGAGGTTAAACTGTGGAGGACAAGAGAGCCAGAGGTGATGCAGTAAAAAGGTTGCAGGCAGGGCAGAATACCGCGGTGATGTCAAGCAAAGAAAGTCCTTTTGATAAATGTGCTTTTCCTTTGTTATTTAATAATGTTTGATCCCCATCGAGGTGCACAAGGCCATCTTCACCTCCATCTTTTGTTCCCACTCATGCGCTGAAAGTTTCTTTATAATCATATCCTACAAAGTGTATTTGGAAATATATGCAGCTGTTGCTCAAAGCACTGAAAACTTACAATATTTAGGATGTTTTGGCATCTTCAAACAAAACTTTGAACACTTCTGTGTAGCAGCTCGGAAAGCTAAAACAGGATAGCTTCCTGAAAACATTAGCAAACCTCTTCACAAGTTTGAACATTAAATTCCTTCAAATATTTCTTTCGGAAATGAATTCAGTGCATTTTGGTTGTTTAAACTAAACCCACTTTGTGCTAAGAGTATGTCATCTGCTGGAAACTTGACTGAAACTGGAGCTAAAAGTGCAGAGAAGGCAGATTCATAAGAATAATCGACTGCAGCAAATCAGTTAATTTTAATGTTATTAATCATTAGTAAGAGAATTTCTTTCAGCTGCGGATTAATTAATTACAGAATAAACCAAGTCACAGTTCAGTTTAAACAGTTTTTTTAAGTGTGGTTTTTATCTGGGCTTTAACAAAAACAACATTCCAGCCTGTTGCCCAACACATTCCTATTAAAGCAACATCACAGCAACACATTTAGAGCCCCGAATGTTTGCAGGTTCAGCTACAGTTACCTCATAACAATTCCTCTGCAAAGCTTATTATGCTGGGGGGGGGACATTTAAATGTTATTTGTGAACTGTTGGGTCTTTTCTGTCTTTTCTTATTGGACCTCAAATATTCATAAAGTGTATGAAAAAAAATTGTAAATACAAATTGTGTTACTCAGTTCATTGTACTTTAAATACTTTACATTTTCAGCACATTTTGTGACTTTTTAATGCCCACAAAAGTTCCTAATAAACAATACCTACGCGGAGTTGGGGTGATGTGGATGTTGTGTAAAGCATCGAGAAGGGCTTGGCTCCGCACTGCAAAAAATGTTTTTTTTTTTAGCCATAATGTTGTGGAAGTCACATGCTTTGAAACATTTTAAACTTTTTGTCTCCAAAACAAGACAAGGAATAGGAAACGCAGCACAGATCATTTTTGGCTTGATTATATTTATGCTGATATTCAAACACAGTTTCAAGAAAACGCACGTTTCGCATATTTGAACACTTTAGATTGCGTTGGGTACATCTTCACTGAAAAGTATCCCTCATTGATGGCTGTGTTCATTTTGTATTTATTTTTACATTTTATTAGAATAAATTTGTGCTTGCCACTATATATATTAACCATTAGGTGCCATGTTTTTGCAGTGCATCCTGCTTTGCGCACGCAGTCTGAAATTTGACTCGAGTTTAAAAAGCGCTGACAGGAGACACAATTCACAAAGCAACGAGTTTCTCTCTACGGGCGCCAGGTAGCTCCATATACGGATTGGAGAGGCACTTTGCAGCCCCTCTGGCACTAAGTCTTGCTAGGGCGCACAGAGGGGCAGTGCCATGTACGCTACTGACAAACGTATGCTCCTGAACGAAGAGAACCAGACTTTGGTGTTCACTGTCACCACTGACCTAATGATGGGAACGTCTGGAAACAGCACCGACCACCATAACGGATCAGATCCGTTTGCAAGGAACGAGGAGGTGGCACAAATAGAGATAATGGTTCTGAGCATCACCTTCGTGGTTGCTGTGATTGGGAACGTAAGCGTCCTGCTGGCCATGTACAACACAAAGAAGAAGATGTCGCGAATGCACCTTTTCATCAAACACCTGAGCCTGGCCGATCTGGTGGTTGCTTTCTTCCAGGTGCTGCCACAGCTGTGCTGGGAAATCACCTTCCGCTTCTACGGCCCAGACTTTCTCTGCAGGATTGTGAAGCACCTCCAGGTGATGGGAATGTTTGCGTCCACCTACATGATGGTCATGATGACCCTGGATCGTTACATTGCCATCTGCCACCCTCTGAAAACCCTACAGCAATCCACACGACGCTCGTACATCATGATCATCTCCACGTGGATATGTAGCCTGGTGCTCAGCTGTTCACAGTACTTCATCTTCTCCCTGAGCGAGATCCAGAACGGCTCGGGCGTCTACGACTGCTGGGCGCGCTTTATCGAGCCATGGGGCGCCAGGGCGTACATCACCTGGATAACCGTGGGCATCTTTCTGGTGCCCGTGGTCCTTCTCATGATGTGCTACGGGTTTATCTGCCACAGTATTTGGAAAAATATTAAATACAAGAAAAGAAAAACGACGGCTGGTGCGGCAAGCAGGAATGGACTGATTGGAAAGAACTCGGTCAGCAGCGTTACAACTATCTCAAGAGCCAAACTGAGAACCGTTAAAATGACTTTTGTGATCGTTTTGGCGTACATTGTTTGCTGGGCACCGTTTTTCATCGTGCAGATGTGGTCTGTGTGGGATGAAAACTTCCAGTGGGATGGTGAGTGCTTATAAATGAACACAATACTTATTAAATGTCACACTTTTAATCGTTCTACAAATGCTGAGAATTGCAGGGGGAGAAAATTAACAGAAACTTAAGAATCGCGTTGCGCAAGGGGAAAATCCACGAATTGCGCGCCTTTACGCACGAACTTATTTGACAAACAAAACCAAAATCTGTAAACATACTAATCTAAAACGTATACAGTATCAAACCTTTCACGCACACGCGCTCACACGCACACCCACAACTACATTTCACCAAATAAATGAAACGTGTCCATTTGGAGAATTTTAGGTTTCGAAACCCCGAGTTTTTCAGGGAGATTTAGGAAGGAAAAAATCCTACATCTGCATTTTGAGACATTAAGTGGTCAAATGTTATGGCGCTTTAAAACCACGCTACTAGTATAAATTATGTGTAAGCAACATATTGTGTCCTGTCCACAAGGTGTTTCCTTTTTATCTCCTCTTGTCTAAAATCAGATTGCATCTTTTTTTTAACAAAAGTTTTAAGTCACATTAGCCGAACCTGTTTTATACAATTTATATGGTACTAATACAGCAATACTATATTATTGCACTAATTATCAAATGCCCTACTTTGCCTTACTTAAAGTATTTTAACCTGTTTTTTTAAAAAGTGAATTCACAGAAAAATATTTCAGACTTTTGTTCAAAGTTTATCAGTCTGACTGTGGATCAGTAGAATTAATTATTGCTGGCTAGCTGATAAGTTCATTCAGTTCTTGGCTGAATTCAATTGTTAACTTTTGGTGACGGTGTTGGGATGGGTAGGTGGGTGTGGGGTGAATGTTAAGAATTAAAATTTATGTGTAAAATTCTTAGGTTAGCTGCATCACTTTCCATTATTACCTCTTTTGTTTTGAAATAAAGTTTTTGAAGTCCTAGTGAGATGGATAATTCCAACAACTCAAACACAAACAATGACAACTGCAATTAGACGATAAAGTCAGATATTGTGGTAGTTAGCTGGAAGGCCCAAACCAACAAAAATTGGGCCCCAAGCTCTCAGTGAGAGTAAATTTTACAGGAAATTTACAGATGATTCACATTTACACATTTTCAAATTCTGGTTTCTAGTATTTTTCTCCCCTACCATAAAGTGCAACATAAAGTGCAATATAACTCAAATTTGTAGAAATTTGGGGAAGTTCTAAAAAGGCACCATGGTAGGTTTTGTTGTTGTTGTTGTTGTTGTTGTTATATATGTCATCAACCTGCAAAGGATTGCAGGTAAAAAACAACAACAATCATTTATAGAGCTCTATAAACTCAAGTCCTGGCACTAAATAAACTGTATGGGCCTACTATATTGGCAGCTGATGAAACAAACTCCTCCCTGAGTTGGACCACTGTTTATAGCTTTCCTCGTCTTCATTATAGGTTTTTTTTCTTATAATTTTAGGCACCAAAATTTCTTCTCTTGGCTTAGAAAATGACCGTGGCTGCAGTGAAAACAGATCCTGTTATTTTTTAAATGTGTTAATTTATCGTCGCTTCCTTTGTTACTGGTGTGAGGAACTCTGTGACAGTGAAGACACCAACAGATCACATTATCCTCCAATCAAAGTGTTTCAGATGTAGGAAGAGAGAAGAAATTTATACTTAAATCTATCTGACTAAGTGTCAGTGTTTGAGGAGGTGGATTACCGCCTTTTGCTTATATTATGAAAATTACATTTTATTCCAAAAGTCTTAAAACTAGTTGGATCTGCAACAGAGATTTCTTCTAACTTTGGCACACCTTTGTAACTTTCAGAGTCTGGCACATTTAGGCAGCATTTAGACACCAGAGGCACTGAGTTAAACAGGCATTTCTACAGCCTGTACCAGATGTTTTGCGAATTAATCATCCTTTCCCTCCTTCCTCTCTCTGTTCTCCAGATTCAGAGAACACAGCAGTGTCTCTGTCTGCACTCCTTGCCAGTCTCAACAGCTGCTGTAACCCGTGGATATACATGATCTTCAGTGGCCACCTCCTCCAGGATTTTGTGCAGTGCTTCTCGTGTTGCCGCAAAATCAACACCGACTTCAAGAAAGAAGACTCAGACAGTAGCCTCCGCAGAACGACTTTGCTCACTAAGATGACCAATCGGAGCCCAACAGGTAGTACCGGCTACTGGAGAGAGCTGGATAATTCCTCCAAGTCCTCTATTCAAGCAGAGTAAACACATGTTTGGCAGTGGCACCAAATGGCATGAATGACAGGAACTGCAATCTAACTGACTAAACTGCAAATTATACAGAAAATCAAGCTTTTTTTAGTGTGAAAAAAAAAAACATGAAACAGGGTGTTGCGAGGTTCACAGGAGCAGAAAATATGAACACATTAGGGAACGTGCATACATCTTCTTTCTTTCTTTAGATAACCTCAGCAGAAATGTTAGAAAAATAATGAGAAAAAAGCATGCACAGGCTTTAAATTGTTCTATTGAATGGAATTATAAATCTTCAATATTCAGTGTTTCGCAGATTCCTGCATGAGTTCTTCTGAGTGTTTTTTTCCCTTTTTTCTTTAGCGAGAACCTTTTTTTCCAGGAATCCTGATGCTTTCAAAGGTTGTTGTGCCTCCCCGCAGTGCTGCCGAACACCCTTTCCTGTTAAAGTGTTTACAAAGATAAAACCCATATAGCAGCCGAGATGTGTGTAGTGATGGTGAAAACGACTCTTCCAGACCACTCGTCTCCAAGTAACCAAGGCAGTCACCTCATCCGTTGTGTTTAGCTTTCCGTTTTTCTTGTTTTTCTTAGAACCACATTTTAGTGGCTTGTAAATCTGATTCGAACCTTTTGCTTTGACCTGAGGGAAAAAAGTAAAATAAAATAAAATAAAGGGAAGCATGTGGAGTTACATTTATCAGCCAGATTTTTGTGGTTATGTGCACTTTTATGATTTGTTGAAGGAATTGTTTCATGTTGCACAAGACAGTCCTAAATTTGATGGCTTTCATTTCTGCTCAGCATTGGTAAATGAGATCTCCTTCAAGTTTTATAGACACACACACACACAGATAGAACGCAGGGGGCTCTGATGAAGTGAGACTGACCACTGCTGTTTAAGTCAGCCCACCTTCTCACAAACTGTTCCCATGTCTTTCATAAAATCTTGGGAAGAAGCTCACACATTCCACACACAACACGTCAGCACACTTCCTGATTTTCCTCAGACATCCTGCACCACTGGAGGTTCTGAGTTTTGGCTTCATTTGCACTCGAGATAAACAACTTCCTGGAAATCAATGTGATATGTGACACCATAATGGTTGTCGGATTAAAAATAATCCCCCCCACCCCCACAAAAAAGCTATATTGAATCAAGATTGTACATAGATATTGTGTATATATGTGTGCACTGTGTATCAAAGTATGTACATATAAATTCAAATGTTGCATATTTGTATATTAAAAACACTTAAATGTCTGTAAATAGGAGTAATATATGTAAATCTATGGGGCATGAGTTGCTGGTCTGTAATGGCTTGTGCAAATCTTTAAGAGGTAACTTACTGTAACACCTTATGTTGAAATATACACGCCAATGTATTAATTATTACGTTGTCTTTGTTCCTGTTTTTACTACATGGAACATTTCATAGTTTGTGCTTCATGAAGCTGGTGCACAGCCACAGAAATTTATGTGTGTTATTTCTGTTGAAAATGAAGTGCTTTGTGAAGTCATGTCTCTTGCCAATCTAAGCACTTGAAGCTTGCCAAGCTCTGGGATTATGCAACTGCTTGACCTTTCAATTGAAAACGTGTGAATGGGAAATTCTGCTAATGAGCAGCCTTTTGTCAACATGTTGTCCACCCCCATACTGATGGATAATATATGTCCCAATAGAATGAATAGCACCTTGTAATAAAGTGATAAATCATTGCATTAAAAGGTCATTTTACCTATTCAACTGAGTAAAGATTTTTTTACTGTTTATTTTCAGTGTGAGGAGGTTTTGAGATACATCTATCTGTGGGATTTCTTTAGTAGAAAAATGAGCAATGGAAAAATGGAAAATGTCCAGGTAATTTTGTCAGTTTTTTCATAAATGGTAAAATTCAACATGTGGTTAAAAACAGTAGGGGGAAAAGTCTAACAAGAAAAATCCCTTCATAGTAAAACCGTACCATATTTTCACAGATTTTACTGTGTCATGTGCCACAGTTTTCCTGGGTTTTGATGCAAAGTAGTTGTTGCCTTGAGCTTTAAACAGTTGTTGGCAACTCCAGCTGATTAAAAAGAGATTTAATGAGTCATAACGTTTTAATAGATTCTGTTATCATTACAACAAAGACAAACTAGCCCAATGTTTATGATAAACCAAGCTAACCAGTTGTAGCATCACATTTAGCATACAGATTATCTCAGCACAAGAAACCAGATGAGCACACTTCCTCAAACACCAGACCATTGCTTTAATCCATCCAAAAACCATAGCTCCCAACAGGCTTCACAAAACAGAGTGTTAATAGTTTTCAGAGGGCCAGGTTGTTGTTTCAGATTCTGGTAAGATTTGTGTTGTTGCTTTATTTTCTTCATCCATTAAATCAAAATTCTACAAATCTCAGAGGCAAATATCTCAAAATCCAGACACATGAAACCAGCGTTGTGAGAAAACATGTTTCCTATTTAAGCTGACCCTTCAGTCATACTTTAGATTCCACCAGAAATGCAATTTCATTTAATTTAATAATAGTGATAATACTGTAATATCATAATAATACTGTGTGATTGTGTAACACATCATATTATTGCATTATTCTGCTTCACAATAACAAAAATGTCTTACTCTTTTACTTTAGCAGCCACGCCACACTGCTTAGCATTTGGAACAAGAATGATATCTGCTGTTGCTTAGTGCATCTGTTGATAATGACGCTTTTTTTGGAGTTCCCCTTTGCAGTATCTAAAACCTTTCAACCCCACTATGTCCTCTAAGGTACAATTTATCACCAATCATGTGATTTTAAGAATACAGGGGTCTGTTGGCTGTGTCATAGATGGATGACAGAGGAACTCGTTACAGGAAATGATGACTCCTTCAAATAGCGCTGGAGAGACAGTTGTTTTAGATATGGTGAACATAGCTCAAATTCCTCAGCTAGCATACAGTCTGAATCTCATTACAAAATGTCAACCATGAAGAAGCATTCCTACGAAGCGCTGGCCATGAGCCAGGGATAGGGGGACAGGGTCTGCAGTCAGAGTCTAGACTGAGAAAATAATAACTGAGCTTCATTAGAGACTTTGAACAACTAGGACTCCAACTTAGAAATTCAGAAAACAGACATCTTACTATAAGGACTGCAAAATTAGTAGCATATCCACAGAATACGTGCACAACCCAAGATTTTCTATATTTTGCGTTGGAAACATGAAACAGGGCAATGCAATTTGTACAAAACCAAAACCACAAATGCAGGTGAGATGGCCAGAGATGTCTATTAGGAGAGGTGAACCCTACAGCGTCTAGTCAGGGGTGTCAAACTCCAGTCCTTGAGTGCCAGCATCCTACTTGTTTTTGAGATATCCCTGCCCTACCTGCTACTGATTACCTGGATGAGGTGTGCTTTGCCAATAAGAATCTACAAGGGCAGGTTAGTTGGAAAACAAGCAGGACAGCGGCCATCAAGGCCTGGAGTTTGACACCTGTGGTCTAGGTAAAGCCAACTGCCAGTCAAAGTGGATACATCTGTAACTTGAAGCCTTAAAAAATTAAATAGCTAAAAAATATTTATCCCCTAGATTTGTTATGAAGTAGTATATTACCTATAGAGGCCAGAGCATTTTGTATTGGGCTGTGATCATGCCTTATTCTGATTGTCTTTTTACATAGAAGTTTGTGGAGAAAGGCTTTTTCTTTCTTATTTTTGCAAATTAGTTTCAGCATACAGTCATTCATTCACCCTGAGCTGCTTGGGAGATGAACAAAAAAAGGATAAATGGATCTCACTGGAGTGCAGGGGTCTGTGAAGAGGGACAACATCAAAGACTTTTATATCTTTTGCGTGCCACATGTATGGATACCTCAGGCAAAGACAGAGTTGGAGGGATGTCAGTAAGGGGGCTGAAAAATGCAGAGATATGAGCTGCAGATGCATATGAAGGTCTTTGTTCACTGGCACCCTTCTGAAGAGTGACTTCACACTGACTTCGCTCCAAAACCTCAAAGCCATGGAACATGATTTTTCAAGCACCACTTTGCTCTTTCTTGGAAATCCCTCACCTTCTCCTTCAGCATTTAAGCTCATGCCACAGAATTCAGCACAAGAATTCCTAATGATATCCAATCTGTCATATTCTTTAGCTTAAAAAACATTAAGATCCCGCATTGTTTGGGAATCATGCCAAGAAGACTCATACTCCCTTTCTTAATGAATAAACAACTTGTGTTTTTCTAGCAGGGACCAAGTCCTGTTTTCTGTTATGATCTGGACAATTGTGTCCACAGCTGCCTTCCCTCCACCTGACACCCTGGCCTTTCCTCAACCCGGTACAGAGATTCTTGCTTGCATGCTAGTGTAAACGAAACAGGCTTTACAAAATGTTTAGAAAGTCAATAATCTGACAGAAGTGTTCATGTTAACAAATGAGGGATACAGATTTCTTTCTTTTCTTGGCTGAATTAGACTGCAATTGGTTAATGGTAACATAACAAACCAGATGTGTTGCTTCTAAGTGGATCCGACTTGAAAGAGTCTCAAATACAGGAAGTTCTTTTAGTTCTCTGATGAGAGTTAAATGAGAAGAGGGTCTGTCAGAGTGGCAGCATATTTGCCTCAGTTACATGCAAGCCTCTGTCTTCCTGCTCCATTGTTCTCCTTCTGTTGTCCATGAAAATAACATGTTTGTATTTACCATTGTGTTCTTTAATCACCCCCCAGAGATCAATCAATCTATTCAAACAGGTTGATCTAAAAAAAAAATGCTAGTACACAAAATCTGGAAAATAAAGCATTATAGTTCAGGTATTCACATTCTTCCAGACAAGGCTTGCATAACTAACTTTTTTTCTGTTACTCATGTTCGGTGTTACCAAACAAATTTCCTTCACATAGATTGTGGACAGCATGTCTATTGTCTACTTTTAGTCTCTGCTGTCAGCAAATTTCATAGGCCAGTTGACCGACTGTAAGTTATTGTTTCCTAGTTGCAACAGAATTTATTTAGTTCAGATCGTTGAATGAGTGGAATTTGATTACTTATAAAATCATTATGTTAAGGTGGGATTTTCTTAAAGAAATATAACATTAAACTAAAGTAAAACTAAACTAAATTAAATAAAGAAGCAGCATTAATTTGATATCAAAATAATAAAACTGATCTGGACAGAAATAGTAGTAATGATCAACTTATTATTTTAAAAAAAATTCTCATATACGTAGTACACAACAACACAACAAAAATAGTTTGCCACAGAAAAATTAAAAAGATGAAGAATCTGGATGTGTTTTTGGTAAAAAAAAAAAAAAGTCCAGGTAGACTGGTTGGTTGGGACCGTTCTGACTTGACAAGCTGAGCATGTTTGTAGGTGACAATGAGCTAAACAAACTACAAATAATTAATATGGTGATAATCAAGATGTACTGTGTGATAGAGGGTAGCTCAGCTGGTTTAAGCTCTAAAACCACTTTGGGAACGTACATTGCTTCATTAACCACAGACTGTATAAAAAGGAGAACACGGGCATATTGGGACTATCAGCTAACATGAGCATTCTTAGTTAGCAAGATGCATTCAGAGACTGTATACATAAATGAACAGTTGCTAATTAGTATTTGGTAAAATTGTTACATGTGTTACTTAGATTAATTTGTTACATTTTTGGATGAAATGATTATTACATATAGTAAAACTATTATTAGAAGATAGTTTCGGTCATGTGTTTCATCTTATCCACTGTGCAGAAAATTTAAAACCAAATCATGCTAAAGCTAATTTGTTCATTCAACATCAGCTGAGGCTCAAAGTGATTATAGCAGTTCTTTACAGCTGCACCTAAAGCAGGGTAACTGCCCTGCTATAGCACAGAGGGGCAAGATGTGTTAATCTGTGAAATATGAGCGATGATGGCAACTTTGTTCAGTAGAATCCCCTGTTAAAAGTATTAGTAGTATAGTTGTTTTTGTTTGTTTGTTTGTTTTTTATCCACCCAAGTGACAAAACAGGTGTGTAAATAAGGAAACAAGAATGCTTTTCATACACTTTCTTAACTGTACACACCCAGTATTTTGTGGGTGTAAATGTGTTTGTTTTATTGTATTTTATTTTATTTTTTGCTTGTCCCGTTTGGTTCTTTTGCCATCAGAATTGTTGTCTAAAGGCAAAGAAAGATGCCCAACATATTTACTTTACCAAATGGACCATCCCAGCCTTGCCGTATTGGTCTATTTGATTCACCTTTGCTTTTATTGTTTATTTTATTTTCATTTGCTGAACACGGGACAGACTTGACTGGGGAAAAGAAAAGGGAGAAAGAAAGAGGGAAAGAAAAAGAGTGGGGAAGAGGGACGGTGATAAAGGGCAAAAACCAAAAACCAACAAAACAAACAGACAAAGAAATACATATATCGATCACCTGGATCACCTGTTGAGAAAGCAATAAGAGAAAATAAGCAAAGAAAAAGAGAGCAATATAATAAACAACACCACGATGATCTATGGGAATATAACAGTAAATACTAAATATTAAATATCATTGTGCAGCACGTAAGATCGACAGCGCACAGTGTGCTTTGAGGTAGCAGCCAAAAAGGGTGTAGTTTGTGTGTGTGAGCACCCATGTGTACACCTGTGAGCATGAGTGCGCTTGTATTTAAAAGGTTCCTTCATGTAATGATCTGCTAGAGGGTGTGGGGAGCCACAGCCCCGTCCTC